GCCGTAAACTGGAACCCTAAACTGTGAACAGAGAGGTCTCCAGGAGGGTTCCAAAAGTTATTGACGACAAGGCAGTTCATGGTCTCTAAGACCGTGAACTTGGAGCACAAACCGTGAACCAGGAGAGTGAAGCGGTGCGTTTTGGAGACGACACTGAGTTCCCAGATGCGTTCTGATGTTCACGGCCGTGAACTGGTCAACGCGGCCGTGAACTGGGCACTTTCGGGCAAATAGGAAGACAACAGCGGGGAGAGAAAAAGGGAGATGGTTTTTGGAGAGGAATTGATTTTTTTTCTCTAGGTTTTGAGACCAAAACACCAATGGGGAGTTCTAGTGAGAGAGAGAGAGAGAGAGAGAGAGAGAGAGAGAGAGAGAGAGAGAGAGAGTGCTAGAGTGATCTTGGAGTTTAATTGGAGACTTGGGTGGATCTTGAAGACAAGGATTCAAGCTTAGAAAGAGAAGAAGATCTTGAGCTCAAATTTGTAATCCCTCTCTTCTCTCTCTAGAAACTCACCCTCCTCTCTTAGGTTTAAGAACCCTAGGTCTAGATTTGGGTTTAATGTTGATGTATGTGACAAACTCCATGATTGATTGATGATTTTACTTAATTGATGGATGTTGTCATGAATGGCATGAGTTGGGTTTCCATTTTCATGTATTGAGCTTTTGACCTAGCAGGGAGATAATCCCCTTACATCCCCTTTTGGCATCTTCGGGTCACTCCTATCGTATATTGTCCGGGTAGTCCCCAAGGGAGTTGATTCGACCGGTCTCCTAACATTATACAAAACCCTAGGGCGAATAGAGCACTACCCATCCATCGATTCATCGTTCCGGGTCACTCCCAAGGGGGTCCATCTCCAAACGATAGAGTAATTGAGTCAATCGAGCTAGGAGGATACCCAACATAGATCCAAAGAACGGACCTAGGACGATTCAACCCAAGAGAGCTCACCACCTTGTAAATAGCTAGGTTAGTGGTTAGTCTAGGTTAGTTAGTTTAATTCTATCAATCACTATCCTAGGTTGGCTAGATAACGAACCCTAAACCTAAAGTAGGGGAAGCCTAGATCCCCGTGGTACGATAAATTCTTATTGCTTGTTTGCCCTATGCTACACCCGATCGGCGGTTATACTTGGCCATCGATTGGGACGTTGTAGTTAGAACGAGTCCGTACGATTTGAGGCAAATAAGTGGTTGTCTTCCCCTCTACTTAGGGCTTGATCTCTATACCCTGCTTCAATGCTGTCACAATTAGGGTTAATAGGAAGTCAACAAACTGCTCCACAGCTGCGTGAGTTGAAGAGATCAGGTTTTAAGGTTGGATTTGTACGGAATGGAGGATATACAACTTGTATTAGTATTTTGCTATCTTTTTTGGAAAAATTAATATACAGATTACAGAACTTTCCCGATAAAAAGTTCGATCCTTTTCAAGCTTTAATACTGATCCAATTCCAGGAATTTAATTGAAGAATGAGAGATTGTGATTGGCGCTACAACATAGTAAGGGACGACTGGGCTGGGATATTATCAAAGGGACTGAAAGCCAGGGCGCCGATGATGGTGAGATGAGTGGAAGGCGAGACAGCGCAAATGAAATGACTACCAAGCGTGTCGAGTTGGAGCCTAGCCTAAGTAAGGAGGACGTAAACCAACAGCAACAGGGACACGTGGTGGAGGATGAATTAATCGACGGTCATATATCGGTGTCTTGGGTTGTTTCTCCCATTGAATAACAATAGTCATCAAGGGAAGGGATTCGTGTTGAAGATAGTTAATATATTGCTTCAGCATCTCGGGTTGTTTGACCCATCTACTGGATCGAATCAAGTTAATATATAATGCAAATCCAGAGAGATCCTGCTTTAGTAGGGGTATCATTACTTAATTCTCTAATTGTCTTGCTATCTTATTTCTGATTGATTCCAAATTTAAGTTTCTCCTGCATGCGTGTAGATTTTTAGTTCCAATTCAACATTGTTGCAGGATTTGCCTCCTACTGGGTGTGTCGCCAAGGAGCAAATAAAGTTGTTGCTTTTGAGTCGAAAGTAAGAGATGGGAGGAACTATCAGAATCAGAGAAAACAAAGTAGTATTAAGTAATGATTGATGAAGGGTTTGAGCTCATCTGCTCCATAAGTTTCTGCAGCTTCCTATTCTCCTTACATGTAGCTTTCCCTGATGGTTGTCAAAAGAAATAAGAAAGAACTTGATTTGTACTTGTTTACACCTAAAATTAATTTGGATTAATTAAATGCCGTATTAATTAGTCTCGGCATTTAATTCGATACCGCAGGTTAAAAACGATGTCGTTTGGAGTTAAGCGGCGTCGCGGAGAGTTAAAACGGTACCGCAAGGAAGCTCGGCGGTACCGCGGCATAGGAAACGACACCGCTTAATAAAAAAAAAAAGGGGCTGCGCGTGTAGTTGGGTTGGAGAAGGGAGTTTTATAATAATTATTACCTTTATTCCTTGTAGGAAGGGGGAAAATCGGTACCGCATGGAGAATTAAAACGGTACCGCAAGGAAGCTCAGCGGTACCGCGGCACCGGTCACCAAAAAACAAAAGAGGGGCCGCGCGTTAGTTGAGTGTTGGGGAATGAGTTTTGTTTACTCTAATTAATTATTATTATTATTTACTCCTTGTTGGATAGGGAGAAGCGGCACCGCGGAGAGCTAAAACGGTGCCGCGGAATTAAAAACGGTACCGCGATAAGCCCAACGGTACCGTGGATTAGCAAACGACAGTGTTTAAAATAACAAACAATGTCGCAAAAAGGAAAAAACAATCGGAGCTGTGGTGGCGCTAGCGATGTCGTTGGCCATAGCTAGTGATGGCCGGATTAATTAATTAATGTTTTAATGACTTTTTAGCACGGTGGCGTTTAGTTGAAAGCGATGCCGTAAGAGGAAGAAACGACACCGCGGGACAAGGAAACGGTGTTGTTTAACTAAGAAAGACATCGCGGAAAAGTAAAACGACATCGCGGTAGTGGTAAGAGTTCGGCCGAAGGCAGCCCGCCAAGCCTAACGGCGTCGCAAGAGTATAGAACGACGTTGTTTGATGGACTAACAATGTCGTTGGTTAAACCGGGTCGGGCAGTTGAGTTGGATCATAAAACGGCATCGGTTGGTGAAAGGCGATGCCGTGGTATTGGTGAAACGTCATCGTTAGATGGACAAGGTGGTGAGTCGTTTCGCCAAGTTTCTGCAAAGCAAGAGCGGTTTCGAGGGCACGTGATTATCACGCAACAAGGAGGAAGTTACCTGCACGGTTGACAGGAATGAAGACGTGGGAGACAAAGGCGCCAAGGCAGTTACCACGAAGGGGAGAAGCGCGAAGTATAAAGATTGAGAAGAGAGAGAGAGACTAGACGGAAAAATCAAATCACAAACTGCACCTACGCAGATCTATCTTTTTCTCTCTAGTCTGTAGAACTTCTCTGTCAAAGACCTCCTTTGCAGAGTCGTAGTAGTCGTAGTCGTAGTTGCGGAGCTCTCCAGAGGAACCTCCATAGGAGTAGAGGTAACGTAACTTAGAACACTCCCGGTTTGGTTTCTCGTTTCTCGTTGAACACCCTCGTTCGAACGTAGTTTGGAGAGGTGGTGAACCGAGTAACGGTTGTTTGATTAGAGGTCAAAGGTGCATCGATCAAATCAACGACGCCGATACCGGCGGCGGATATTTGACGATCGTCTTGGTTTCTGCTTTAATCGATCAAATCAACGGCGCCGACTTCGGCGGCGGATATTTGACGATTTTGCTGACTTTGGGTTTTGTTTCCTTGAAATCAGAGCGCATTGAACGCGCGAGTTTCGCCAACGAAACAGTACTACTTGGATTCAATCGATGTATTTGAATGTGCATTTCAATAATAAGATCATGCTTAAAGTTTTCATTTTGTGAAGTTGGTTTTTGATTATTGAATATGGCTTCTTCTGTTGTTCTCCTTCAGAACATGCAGCTACCACTAAATTAAGCTTCCCAAGACAAAATCAAAATGCTTGTGGGTGAAGAAGCTTACAACCACATTTTGCTTAGTTTTATCCCTACTTTTTTTTGCTATCACACAAGCTGTCAATGTTTCCTGTTTCAAATGCACTGCTCTTACTTTTTTCCATGCAATTCTTTTCGCCACCATGATGGATGTAACTGCTTTTTTTTAATTAATTTATTTATTTTTGTTACAAAGCAATTCGTTTTACTCATGTGTATGATAACCAAATGGAATTCAAAATTGGCAGACTCATCTCCACGTAGTTGCAGGTTGCTACAACTAATAAAGTGGAGTCCAAAGTTGAACAAGGATGGCTATCCTTGATGAAAAGTAAAACAACCTTGCTTCCCTACCTATGGAATGGAAGTGGATGAAAACCCAGAGTATCTCGGACTAACACACAAAAAGGAGCCATGGGAAGACAGTTGCAGAATCCTATGAGTTGTGATGCATAACTATTTTACTTCCTTTGGCTGAGTTTGTTACAGAAGTAGTTTAATAATGATAGCATGCTTGATAGTAGAGAAGGCGCCAGAGATTATTTGGATGGCGGTTGTCTAGAGCTGCTATGTGAACACATGGAAAAGGCGAGAGCCTGATGGTGCAAGCAAGAACAGAGCTGATATTGAAGCTCAAATGGTTAATTGTGAGCCAAGCAAGTATGATGGAACATAATTTTAATGCAGAACTAACCTAGCGATTGTCTGCTTGAGTGCACCATATCTGTTTTGCCCCCTGTTCGATGTTGTAGTTTTGAAAATGCAGTTTAAATTTATTTTCCTATTAAACTCTTATTTTCTAATTACTAATATTATTTCATCCATTATAATAAAAAGCAGTTTTTATTGTTCGTGTCTCTTTTTACCGTATATTGTTCATGTCTGTGAAACCAGATACCACATAGGATGACTAGTTTTCTATTCCAAATTATATGGTTGGTTAACTTATGTTTCTTCCATACAAGATTCGGTATTTTACAAGATTCATGGTAAAAAATTTGAGTAATTGCCTAATTTATTTATAAATAGTTTTTCAAACAAGAAAACAATATTCCAAGTGTCAACAATACAAATAAATGAACTGTTTATTATATATATATATATATATCTCAAATTGGATAAACAAGTATCAAATAAAGAAAGCCGCTTGCTTCTATTCCCCCCCCCCCCCCCCCCCCCCCCCAGTCTCCCTCGGTATATCCTCCCCAATCCAAGCATCTATCTCGGCTTTATCCCTACTTCCATCTTCTTCCTCCGCCATTTCTGTTCCTTTCTCTTTCTGCTCTCCCCTCAATCACTGACTTCCTCCCTCCTCGGTCGTAGCCATGGCGCCGGGCTCCAGCCCCGGCAGAGCAATTCTTCGTCACGCCGCCGGCAACGGCGCCCTTCTCCCGTTCCCCAACTCCAGACTGCTTGCCATTCCGCCTCCATTGAAAACCTCTCTTCTCATCCGGAGGCCTACTATTAACTGAAGATGATGAAGATGTTGCTCTGCAGAAGGTGAACTGAAGATACAGAGCAACCCGATTGAAATGAGAAGAAACCTTACCCATAAACGGAAACGTTTCTGGGTTCCCTTCCATCCAGCTTAAGCAAAGGAACGGGACGATGTTGTTGTGGAGTTCTAGTAGCATACCGTTGGGTGGAATCATTTACGACGAATGAAACTGTGCCAAGTGGCTTTATATTTACGGTCAATTTGAATTTCAGTTTTACATTTCCATTTACACTGTTTTGTATAGTGAACTTGACTTTCCAGTATGGGTATAAAACGAAAGCCAGAGAGATCCCTTGCTTTTTGCGTGTTCCCCAATTTGTGCCGCATTCTTCTTCTTCTTCCGCTAAACCCTAGCTGCTGCTAGGTTTCTCATATCGTATCAAAGCAGTTACTGATCCAGTAACCCTTCCATGGCGACGACGCCACCTAATACCCCACCTAGGAGCATTCCCTTTGGTACTTACGCTGGAATGAACTCTGGAACGACGAACAACAACAACGCCACCAACAACAACAACGATCGAGCAGATCTACAGTTTGGTAATCCCTTTTACATTAACCCAAATGAGAATATCTCTCAAGCAATCGTTTCTGAGGTTCTTGATGGTGGTAATTATCAAATGTGGCAAAGAGCTATTGGTATGGCTCTGAAGACCAAACATAAAATTGACTTCATCAATGGTTCAATTGCAATTCTAGTTGTGTGAGATGCAATTTATAGCACATGGGATGCTTGTAATACGTTGGTTATTTTCTAGGTCTTGAATTATATTGATAAGGAAATATGAAGGAGTGTTATGCAACATGAAGTAGCTCGTACTCTCTGGGAAGAACTTAGAGCTCGTTTTGGGTTCACTAATGCCATTAAGCTGTCTAATCTACAAGATCAAATCATTGCTTGCAAACAAGGAACCCTTAATGTGACTCAGTACTATACAGCTCTAAAGGGATTATGGGAGGAACACTTCCAATTTAGTCCAATTGTTGATTGCAACTGTGCACCACAAAGAACTCAACACTGTGATGCTGTTGAAGCATTCAAACAACAACAAGAGGTCAATTATCTTATTCGTTTCCTAAAGGGTCCTAGATCTGAGTTTGCTGTGGTACACTCACAGATATTGATGATGAAACCATTGCCTACTGTTGACATTGCAATCAATGATGTTTTACAACATGAACAAAAGTTAAAGGCAGACAGAGGAATTACCAGAGGAGTACAAACTGTTGCGTTGGCAATGCAAGGAGAATACAGGATGGAAAGAAATTCTGCACATATTGCAAGAAAGATGGGCATACAAAGGAAGAATGCTACAGGCTGAAAAATAAGAAGCTTAGAATGGCTGGGGGAGTAGCTGCAGCTGTTACTCATGGAGAATCTTCTACTGAGAGTGATTATACAAGCTCGGACTCCAAAATGAGTTGTGATACTCGAAGTGTCTCTTCAAAGGAGAGTTTCAGTTTTTCCACAGAGGAGATGAATAAGCTCATATATCTACTGCAGACTGTGCCATCTCCTAGTCCTTCTCCTCCAGCTTTACCTTCTGTCAATCACTTGGCTTTTTCTGTGGCTCACAATGTTTCTCAGTTTCCTTCATATGCTGGTAAGTTCATCTTGTCTTCCTTCATGCAGCATAAGACAGACTCTCTTTCTCATTCCTGGATCCTTGATACTGGGGTATCTGATCATATTGCCTGCAACCTTGGATTATTCTATGAGTCCATTCCAGTCAGTGATCAATTTGTTTACTTGCCAAATGGCACACAAGTCATGGTTAGTCATGTAGGCAAAGTTAAACTATCGCTTGATCTGTCTCTAGACAATGTTCCCCTAGTGTCTGGCTTCACATTTAACCTTATCCCAGTCAGCAAATCAACACATGACCAACCAGTATCCTTACATTTTGAATATGATTCTTGTCAAATTCAAGACTTGGTGACCCTGAAAAGGACTGGTTTGGCAAATAGAGTAATGGATTATATCAACTTCATACCAAGACCAATGCATCCCTTCTTCCCACACCTCAAGCACCCACTTCTTACAATTTTCTACCTCAAAATATCCAGCTATGGCACGGAGACTAGGACATCCTAGCAAAGACAAAGAGAAGCAGTTGTTAGCTAGTGATAGAGATGTAGTTTCTCATTGTTCTACTTGTCACTTTGCTAAACATAAATGACTTCCATTTCCTGTCAGTAGTAGTAGAGCACCTGATGCTTTTGATTTGGTCCATGTAGACATTTGGGGTCCTTTAGCAGTTAAGTCTCATGAAGGCTATGCTTATTTTCTGACAATTGTTGATGACTTTACCAGAGTAGTGTGGGTATTTCTCATGAAATTTAAGTCAGAAGCTAGTTATCTGTTACAAAGCTTCTGCACTATGGTTGAAAGACAGTTTTCCAAATCTGTTAAGGTTGTTAGAAGTTACCAGGCCTCTGAGTTTCACTTAGCAGATTTCTATACTGAAAAAGGAATCATACACTAGCAATCTTGTGTTGAAACTCCATAACAGAATGCTAGAGTTGAAAGAAAACATCAACATATACTCAATGTTGCTAGATCACTTCGTTTTCAATCAGGCATACCACTTAGATTCTGGAGTGATTGTGTACTTCATGCTGTCTAACTTATCAATAGACTACCTAGCTCTGTTCTTGATAATAAGTCACCATATGAGCTTCTCTAAAAGAAGGCTCCTGCACTCACTAATCTGAAGGTTTTTGGATCCCTTTGCTATGCTTCTACTCTAGACAGAGATAGAACCAAGTTTGATCCTAGGGCCAGGTAGTGTATTTTCCTTGGATTCCCCTCTGGAATCCAAGGTTACAAACTCTTTGACATTAATTCACATTCCTTCTTGTATCCAGAGATGTGACTTTCTATGAAACCATCTTACCCTTTCAAACTACTCCACTTTCTTTCTGATCATGTCACCACTACAAGTTCCCCTTCTGCATCTACTACTCAACCAGACCTTCTTTCTCATTCCCCTCTACCTGATCTCATTACACCTCACCTTCTTCCAATCCCTCCTATATTTCAGCCTGCAAAATCTTCCACCTCCTCCTCCTCTAATGCTGACCAGGCTTCTTATTCCATTCCCAATCCTTCTATTCCTTCTTCTTCCTCTTCTATTCTTGTGTCTTCTACACTGCCCAAGCCTTCCATTGGTGTTTCACCTGTCGGCTTGCAGTCTGAGGGGTAGGATATGGAGATAGAAGTATTCACTGACACTAATGATAATGATGAAGCTGAGTTCATAAAGAAACCCACTAGGCAACGTACAGTTCCCATCTGGCACAAAGATGATCATATGAGCATGATTGCTACAAGCAACAAACATCATATATCTCATCTGGTTGCATATGATCATCTCATTTCCTCTCAAAGGGATTTTGCTCTTAGTGTTGTTTCCATTGAAGAACCAACTTCTTATGTTGAAGCATGTAAGGAAGGACGTTGGGAGCAAGCTTGAAAGGAAGAAATCTTTGCTTTCTATGAAAATCAGACTTGGGGAGTGGTTAAGTTGCCTGCAAGAAAGAGACCTATAGGTGCTAAATGGGTGTTCAAGGTTAAATACAGGTCAGATTGTGAAATTGAAAGGTTTAAGGCACGTTTCGTAGCCAAGGGCTACACTCAAATCTATGGGATAGATTTTCTAGATACCTATTCCCTAGTAGCCAAGATCAACTCTGTGAAGACCTTGTTGGCAGTAGGAGCTGCTAAGGATTGGCACATCCATCAAATGGATATGTCCAATGCCTTTCTCCATGGTGACTTAGATGAAGAGGTTTACTTGGAAATTCCTCCTGGAGTGGATGTACCTAGAGATTCACGTTTGGTTTTCAAACTTAAAAAATCCCTGTATGGACTCAAGCAAGCAAGCAGTCAATGGTTCTCAAAACTCACCAATGCCTTGCTCAAGAATGGTTATTCTCAAACTGATTCTGATTATTCTATGTTTGTTCGATGGATTCAAGGAAGAGTTGTGGTTGTGCTTGTATAGGGAGACTACATTACCTTACAATCACGAGGCCAGATACCACGTATGCAGTGCAACAACTTGCTTAGTTTCAATCAGCTCCATGTAACGGTCATTTGCAAGCTGCACATAGGGTAATCAGGTACCTGAAGCAAACAATTGGACAAGGATTGATTTTCAGGGCTGATGCTAAGCTTGAACTTTCTGGTTTTTGTGATGCTGATTGGGCGAGTTGCCCAGATTTGAGAAGATCATTGACTGGCTACTGCACATTTCTGGGAACCTCATTGATTACATGGAAGACTAAGAAACAAACTACTGTTTCCAGGTCGTCCTTTGAGACTGAATACAGAGTCTTGGCTAAGGTTGTTTGCGAAGTACAATGGCTGAGGAATTTGCTCTCTGAAATGGGCATCAAGGCACCACTGCCAATTCCCTTATTATGTGATAGCAAGTCTGCGTTACATATCGCTGAAAATCCAGTTTTCCACGAGAGAATGAAGCATATTGAAATCGATTGCCATGTTACAAGAGAGAGGCTGAAGTCAGGGTTGATAAAATTGCTTCATGTGAGAACTGATGATCAAATTGCATATTTGTTCACCAAGGGCATGACACGTTATAGATTAAAATTTCTATTGGACAAGCTGGGAGTGCACAATGCTTACTCGCCAGCTTGCGGGGGAGTATTAACTGAAGATGCTGAAGATGTTGCTCTGCAGAAGGTGAACTGAAGATACAGAGCAACCCGATTGAAACGAGAAGAAACCTTCCGTTTCTGGGTTCCTTTCCATCTAGCTTAAGCAAAGGAACGAGACGACGTCGTTGTGGAGTTCTAGGAGCTTATCGTTGGGTGGAATCATTTACGACGAATGAAACTGTGCCAAGTGGCTTTATATTTACTGTCAATTTGAATTTCAGTTTTACATTTCCATTTACATTGTTTTGTAACGTGAACTTGACATTTACAGTTTGGGTATAAACGAAAGCCAGAGAGATCCCTTGCTCTTTGCATTCCCCAATTTGTGCCACATTCTTCTTCTTCTTTCGCTAAGCCCTAGTTGCTGCTAGGTTTCTCATACTGTCAAATTATCAAGATCAAACAATGGAATCGTATGGAAAGGAAGAAGAAGAAGAACAAAATCCTAATTTGCAGTAGAGAATGAGCAAAGAAGGTCTCAGGTTAAACAAGGAAACATAACCTAGATAGTTTGCTGAACAGA